AAGCTTCAGTGACCAACCATTGATTTTATATGTTCTTCCTTTTTTTATTTTTAACGGAGCTGAGAACTGTGATTTTATGTCAAATTTGCATGATATTTTCTGGTCAGATTCCTTTGTACTTCTATAAAGTAGTGCATATGTTGTGACATTTAACTAGAATAATATTGTCTTGATTGCATGCTTCGCATTCTCAGGCAGTTTTTTCCATGAAAAATTGAACATTCATGGGTAAATATGCTAAAAGAAAGAAAGAAAGAAAGAAGAAACTTCCGAAAGCATCCAAATAAGAGACTCACTACCCTAGGAATTATATGGCCGACGTTCATGGCAAGAAGTTTGAAATTTGGTGGTTTCTGTTTATTTTTATTTTTCTAATCGATCTTACTATGCTCATGGCGAATTCAAGGTGTTTTTTGCAAGTTGCAACTCTTTGGTTGGGTTTGGGATGTTTTTTGCCCTTTTTTTATATGCCATTTATTGTGTGCTATGCAATTCCTCTCTCTCTCTCTCTTTTTTAATAATTTATCAAAGGGAAAAAGAGGCCTGATAAACAAAACTCCACTAATAGGTTTACCCAATTATTTTTCCCAACCCCCCATGTGATAGTGTCGTCATATTTTCATAGCTATAGCTTATCTTTTCTCAAAAAGGAAGTGTTTTATTTTAGCTTCGTATGTAGGGAGAAATCATCCCCAACTTTTTTATTTCATCTCCTCAACTAAATATTTATTCTAAACGAAAATGTGGGCCTTACTCCTACAGTTATTGAACATATGTTAATTGTATATATATCACTCGTTTGTTAGTGTGTAAAAGAAAATTGAATATTACAAAATCAGAAATGAAAAGGCTTGTGTTGAAGTGCACTAGGCTTCAAGCTCTCGACCTGACAATAGTTGTATGCTTATGAATTTTCTTCTCATGCCTCAACCAATCCCTGTAATGAGGGGCCAAAAACCCCGACAAGCCAGCGTCTTTCTCCCTCCTTCCCCATCAGGAGGTGAACCAAAGTGTCAAAGTGCACTTTTTCAAGGGATACTGTTTTGTTAATTAGATTGAGGAAGAGCAAGCAGCTTACTAGAAGTCCATAGACTTTATTTGAAATGTAGTTTGTTTCTTTGACTTGCATTCTTCATCAGTGTAAAGTTTAGAATTTCTACCTTCTATTACAGATATTTTAGCACCATATGCATGAGTCTGCATGCTAACATATGGATAGTTGAATTGTCAGGTACATGGGTACTATAACTGGAATAAGTGATCTTGACCCTGTTCGTTGGGCGAATTCTCATTGGCGTTCTGTTAAGGTGTTGCAGCTTTATTACTACAGTAGTTCCACAAAACACCTGCTCGATTTATAATGACATTATTTTATCTTAAATTTATGTAGTAGGACATGCTTAGATTTTGGCCTCGTGTATGATGACTATTTTCTCTATTGTACTGTTCATTTAGTACCCCATGTCCGTTAATGGTTCATTCAGTGCGAGCTGTCTACTATGAAGTTTTCGTGAACCATCAAGACAGTTCTCAATTCTTGATCTCATCTAATGCTAAAGCACAACCTTTTATACAGTTCTTCCTTAACAGTTAATCCTAGCGTTAGCTAGCGATAGAGAGTTCTGTCTTGTCTTGTATGTACAACTAGAGATGTCAGCATCTCAAAGACTTGGGAATTTATAACCAATTTTCTGGCACTGTTTTTGCCAAATTTCCTAGGTGCATGTTCCTTCAAATTATCGTTAATTCACATTATCAGGTGGCGCCATCAGAAGACTGTTCCTTTCGGTATCGTTGACCCTTGGCCTTTATTTGTGTTACTTTGTCCTTTTGCAGGTAGGGTGGGATGAGTCAACAGCTGGGGAGAGGCAGCCAAGGGTATCACTATGGGAAATTGAGCCTTTAACTACATTTCCTATGTATCCTTCTCTGTTTCCACTTAGACTGAAACGTCCATGGCATCCTGGTGTCTCTTCTGTTCATGGTATTTGTCTTCTATCTTCCTAAGTCATTTCTGCATTCTGCTTTAGGTGTGTGAACTATTTTTCTGAAGTCTATGGTGCTTTTTGATGCACGTTATTTGGGCAGACAATTTAAGTAGAAAAAACACTTCCCTTTTAGGCAACAAAGGAATTGATTTTGGTTTACTGATTGGAGTCCATGCAGAGGTTTGAGGATAAAGAAAGGAGAGTTGGCATGGTTGGCTCTCTTTTGGCTTCCACAAATAGTTTTTTGGTATTCCTTCTTGTTTTGGCAGAGGGGTGGGGGGTGCTTTTTGTAAGCTAAGCTCATTTGCCTAGGTTTAGGGTGGACACATGGACGCCCTGGTCCTTCTATAATTATTTGCGTCTATGGATTTGCTCGTCTATATATTTTTGGATTATTCCACTTAATGAAAAGTTGGTTTCTTTCATTAGAGAAGATTTTCCAATATATGCTCTATTATTAGTATTTTTTTTATCCATGGGTGTTATAGGTTTGAAACTGAGATTGGGTTCTATGCCTTTCTGGCCTTTTTGGAGTATGGTTGCTGGCAGTTAAAAAAATTCCAAGTACCCTGAACTTTTGATGCTATTACCTGGTCTTCTAGCTCCAGATTTCAAAATGCTGGATGTGCAGTTTATGGGTTCTCTTTGTTGTATCCGCATATCTCTACTTTGTTGTTGGGTTTTCTTTTTGATACGTTATTTCATCATTATGGATATTTTGTTATCACATTCAACATGTAAACATTTGCATTTAAGCTCAGCTAGGTGTTCACTTTAGGATTCCTAAAAGTGTTTTCATTTAGTGTCCGGGCATCTCTACTTCATATGAGTTGTTTTCATTAATTTTCTTTCCTTTTGCTTTTATTCATTTCTGAAAAACTTCAGTAAAGGAAAAAATAAAACCAAATAACTCAGAATTATAGATTTTGACTTTTCCACGGTCTGTTACTTTTTAACATACAGTTTAAAAATTCATCTTTTTGTTAACGTAGTATCATTTTATATTCTTGAGAAATTGATGTTTAAAAATTGTTGATTGTACTGTATGAGTTGGAACATAGGACAGATGTAAACTAAACATCTTACCCATGTCAGATGTTAATTTTTAATTAAATAAAAACACTAAAGTTTTAATGCGATCGCCAACCAGTAATTTGTAGATGCTCTATGACAACAATACTATAGCAATAAATAGTTTGAGAATAGAATTGATTTATCGGCCCAATAGTGTATCTAATAGGAATATCAATTGGAGCCTATTCTTTAATATCTTCAAACAATGTTTTTATATCCTTGCATTTATTGTGATGTTTTATCTGAAAAAATAGTATTTGTTTCTGACATACCAGAGCTTTATGAGGTGCTTATTTGTATATCTTCTATCATTCCATTTTCTCTGTGTTGTGGGAAATTGTGGTCCCTCTTGTCAATAACTGGGCATTGATTATGCTCACGACACTGAGTGGTTCTTGCCAGTTTAGCATTATATGTATACATTTTCACAAATGTGCTCTTGGTTATGACTACATTTTTTAATGGTCTGTTTCCTAACAGATAACAGAGATGATGCATCTAATGGCTTGATGTGGCTACGTGGAGGAGCCGGGGAACAGGGTCTACACTCACTGAATTTGCAATCTGTGGGCTCATTGCCCTGGTTGCAGCAGAGAATTGATTCTTCCATGTTTGGAAATGATCATAATCAACAGTATCAAGCCATGTTGGCTGCTGGAATGCCGAACCTTGGAGGTGTTGATATGCTGAGGCAGCAAATTATGCATCTTCAACAGCCTTTCCAATACATTCAACCAGCAGGCTTCCATAATTCTCTGTTGCAGCTGCAGCAGCAACAGCAGCAGCAGCAGCAGCAATTGGTTCAACAATCTATGCCTCAGAACATCCTGCAGGCACCAAGCCAAGTGATGGCAGAAAATCTACCCCAACACATTCTCCAGCAAACCCTGCAAAATCAACCTGAGGATCTGCCTGACCAGCAACAGCATACTTCTTATCATGATACCCTTCAGGTTCAAAGCAATCAATTTCATCAGGGTGGGCATTCGAACGTGCCATCACCCACGTTTCCTAGAACGGACCTTATGGATTCCAACACAAATTACTCGGAATCCATTACCTCTAGAAGAAACATACTTGCTTCATCATGTCCTGAAGGGACTGGCAACCTTTCCAATATCTATAGAAGTGGGCAGCCAATCCTAACTGAGCAGTTAACTCAACAATCACATGTTTCTAAGAATGCCCCTTCACAGGTTGATGCTCACGCGAACTCAATGTCCTTTCCACCATTTTCTGGTAGAGACTCAATTTTGGAGCTGGGAAATTGTAATTCAGATGCTCCAAGTCCTACACTTTTTGGTGTAAATATAGATTCATCTGGACTCTTACTTCCATCTAATGTGCCCACTTTTGCTTCTCCTTCGATTGGTCCTGATTCATCCTCAATGCCACTGGGAGATTCTGGATTTCAAAATTCTCTGTACAGTTGTGTTCAAGACTCTTCTGAGTTGTTGCACAGCTCAGGGCAAGTTGATCCATCAAATCCAACTCGGACATTTGTGAAGGTGTGAACCGTGCAAGGTCAATGCTGTTTTATTAGTTGTATGCTGGCATATAACACTTCTTCTTTCAGGTTTACAAGTCCGGATCTGTTGGGCGCTCACTAGACATCTCCCGGTTCAGCAGCTATCAGGAGCTGCGAGAGGAGCTGGCTCAGATGTTTGGAATCGAGGGACAGTTGGAAGACCCTCATAGATCAGGCTGGCAGCTTGTATTTGTCGACAGGGAGAATGATGTACTTCTCCTTGGAGATGACCCTTGGGAGTAAGTACTTCACATATACTTCTCTGCTTCCATGCACCCCCTTAATAGGTTACACTGAAATGGACATGGTATTATCGTTCTTAGAGTTGCTTTTATTTAATAGTAGAAAGATCTTCGATTCTAAATTCCTCTCTAAAACTTTCCCATCATAGAATTGTAAAAGAAAATGGCTGTCTTCGTTCTTCTCATCTCGACTATTATATTGACTTCTGAGATTATGAAGTTTATTTAGTCAATATTTTGAATCCAGCAAACTTGATTTCCAGCAAACTTTCCAACTTGTTACCCTTTGTGAACCTTTAATCTGTTGCCTGTCTATCTGTTTTTTCATCTACCATCTGCTAATTCTGCATGTAATCTTCTTATATAGTTTTGGAAAAAAAGTTGAGACAGGCCGTTAACATAACTAACTATTTGGCAGGGCATTTGTCAATAATGTCTGGTATATCAAGATACTTTCTCCCCAAGATTTTCAGAAACTAGGGGAGCAGGCGATTGAATCCTTCAACCCTATGGTCGGTCAGCGAGTAACTAGTGGTGGCAATGAAGCTGAAAATGTTTCGGGGCTACCATCGGTTGGTTCACTGGAATACTGAACTTTTAAGGGAATCGTACGAGGTTCAGGAGACGTTTACTTCGGAACTTGCAGTTAAAACTAGATAATGCAGTTGAATGCCTTCAACTTAGATCAGTGTGTGTAAACTGTTTTGTATTCATAATTCCTTTTGCTTATAAATACTCTGGAAACAATTATCATTTTCAAAGATTATGCGGTTAAAATACATGTAAGTCGTTTACTTTAGATATGAAATATAACACGTTGAACATTTCTAGCTTACATGAGATGCTCTGTTCATTATGGGAATTGCCTTTCTTGCTTACATTTTGTTGATTAGGATGCATGCTGATCATAGCTCTCTCTCCCTCTCTCTCTCTCTATATATATGTATAGTGAATGCAGTTGCTTGGTATGTTAGGATGTGCCTCTAATCTCGTTATAAGGGATGATTTTTCACTTCATTTTGAGCAGGCCCCCCAAGAAAGTGTCTTTTATATTAATAGAATTCCACTACTTTTCCTTTGGATTATGCCAACGAAAGTTAATCAAATTTCGTAGCCACTGTTCTTTACGTTAATTTTGTCTCACAATGCGTGGTTGTTTAATTGCTCTTTGTATAAAACTATACTTGTGGATTACAATCATAATTAATTACATTATTCAATCCACGAATCACGTCTAAATCTATGACATCACTGATACATGAATAATCCAAGGACGGAAAATTGTGGGACTTGCGTAATTGGGAAGGTGTCATCATTCTTGCAGGCAATCGTTTCGTCTTCGTCGATAATTGTGGGAGTGTGAAGATGTTGGAAGCTATGGCTATTTTGGAAGGAATGCAGAACCTGTTGTTTATGGTTTCTTATCCTATTCAGGTGGAGACAGACTCGATAGAGATGGCTAAGCTATTGCGAAGGGAAGACGATGATCTTACCAAAATAACAAAGATAGTCAAAGAAATTTTACATCTTCAAGATGTTTGCGGCATCATCTCTTTTCATAAAGTATTCAGGGTAATTTTTGTGGCCATTATCTCGCTCGCAAGGCTTTCGATTTCGAAAAGTATATGTTGGTTTTCTGATAACTAACTTTTGACCTTATTAGATTTCACAATAAAAAATAATGGAGTGGGATCTAGTGTAAGAAATATTTTACTTACTATTAAAATTAATGGGATCTAGTGTTGTTTAATTGCTCTTTCCTCCTTTTGATAGCAAGAAGAGCTGCAATTTCAGGTTCTCGCAATTGACTTCATTTCATTGTATTGCGGATTTGATGATCTAGGTCTGGATATTGTTTTACTTTCCTGTACGAGTAGCTTTCTTGAGTTGTAAATTTGATCGATGAGAGGTCTCACTTTTTTTTTTATATTTCGGTCTATCCACTGATATACCATATCAATTCAATAAAATTAGTATATAACAGTGATTATGTGACTTCCATTTTTCTGTTAGTGTTCTTTCCAGATGTTTATCTAATATTTTGTTTATCATTCATATACTATATCAATATAATTAAAATATATAACAATGATTATGTAACTTTGGTTTTCTATACGTGTGATTTTTGCATGTTGATCATGATCTACTATAAGGTCTATCACTAATATACCACATCAACAAAATGAAAATGATATATCAGTGATTACGTAACTTTGATTTTTTTTATCACGATTCTATTTGCAAGCTTCTTTCATATTTGACTCCATATCACTAGAATTAAAATGACTTCTTAATTATTATGTAACTTTTATTTTCTAATATAATTTGGTTCGCATTGCCATATCAGTAGAAATAAAAACGACATATGAGTGATTATGAAAATGGTCTATTGATATGGAAAAAAAAAGGGAATTAATAATAATTATTAATCACACCGGTAATTTCACTCTACCAAAATATAAAATCTGATAAAAAAAAACAAGGAAAATAAAATCCCTTGCTTACGTGGCACATTCCAAGCTTCTCACATCCATAAATAGAAGAGTTTTCAGAACAGACCAAAAAGCTTCACTCTGTAATCCAATGGCGGAATTGAACCCAATCTCACTCCCAAGCCTCTGTAGCCGCACCAACTTCTCTTCCTCTCCCGCTGTCGTCTCCTTCCGATCGTTCAATATCGCCGCCAATTGTTCTAACGAGAACACAAGCATCAGCAGAAGAATAGGGTTAGGATTAGGGCTGGGATTGACAGGTTCAATGGCGGTGGGAGCGGCAAATGCTTTGGATCTGAAATTGATCGCGCCGGGCCAGAGCTTCGAGGAGGCGGAGAGCGGAATCAGAGGCCACGCGGAGGCGCTTTTGGAGGTGAGAGGTTTGATTGAATCGGAGGCTTGGAAGGAGGCTCAGAAGAGGTTGAGAAGCAGTTCGCCGCCGCTGAAACAGGATCTACATACTATAATTGAATACAAACCGCCGGCTGAGCGGCCTCCTCTAAGGAAACTTTACTCTCTTCTCTTCAACAATATTACACGAGTAAGTAATTAATCCTCACCAGATTTTCTTCGATTCAGAATATTGATTGATGCAAATTTTGTTTGTTTTGGTGATTTTGCAGATGGATTATGCAGCGAGAGACAGAGATGCAGAACGAGTTTGGGAATGCTACGGTAACATTGTGATGGCCATTTCTGACATTTTGTCCAGAATTTAGAAACACAAATAACAACTCTCAACCCAATGAAATCTGCTATCCAATTCCCTATGAGTCCAATATAAATTTTGACTTTTCGTTCGAAATGCTATCAATTTATTCCTTATTGACATTATAGTCTCTACTATTAAAGATTTAATAAGGTTATGTAACTTTAATAAAATTTTACAAAAGAGAAACTTTAAGGTTTTATATGCTAAATTTCAGACGTTAAAGACTAAAGTTCAAAGACTAAATCGTATAACTGTTGAATACCAAATACATCTTTGAGGTGAGCTCATAGTTCCACTTGATAGTGTCAACTATATAGACATATTGAGAATAAAATAAAAGACTAAAGTTCAAAGACTAAATCGTATAACTGTTGAATACCAAATACATCTTTGAGGTGAGCTCATAGTTCCACTTGATAGTGTCAACTATATAGACATATTGAGAATAAAATAAAGTTCGACCACTAAAATTGTAATTTGGATTTAACAAAATGGCAACAGAAAGCAATGGGCGAGGTGTTTTCTGGGTGCATTTTATTTAAAACAATTTCTTCAAACAAAATTACAAGGCTGTTTACTCAGTGCAATGATCCTCAGAGAACTCCCATAATATCTAATTTATGTTAAAAAGAAGTATATAATATAAATGGAAAAGTAACCATATATCTCACTCCTCATTTTTCAAATAAACTGTGGTATTTTTACTCAGCAATGCTTCCAATAATGTGATTCAATTGAAGCCAAATAAGAACGTGCCAAAATTACTTATTAAATTACATTGACTACTTTAATATTATATCAAGCAGCTTTCAGAAGGAACCTGTAGAAGACTCTTACAATCTAACTACTACATGAAACAGATGTCCCTATCAAGTTTATTAAATTAAATGCAATGCCACTATTAGGGTAATACACCAAAAACTTAGTTTAAAAAGGAAAAAAGAATTAGCTCACCCAAACAAAAATTCCAATATATTTCATATAATTGAACCAGGTGAGACCGTTCCTGACTAACTTCATTTCAGGGAAGGCGTAAAAGTATCGTTCTTCGACTTATCTTACAACGGGACGGGAAGCGTGCTCAATCTTCCATATTTGGTTTCACATCTTATCATATACTCTTCAGTAACTAAAATAGCTACAACTATCATGGTGCTCCGGGGACTCCGGGGAATAGTTCTGATATCTTATTGAAAACGTCCATGACCTAAAAGGGCAATTGAAGAAATTGAAGGAAAAAAAGGGAATGGTAGCACATATCAGTGGAGAATTAATTTAGAATTCGATTCAATTTGAATCATACAGCTACAATTTTTAAAAAATAAGGCAACGGAAATCAATACTCTCATTTACTAAAGGGACAAGAAAAATTAGGTTAAAAAAAACCTCCAGAGATGAACATTGCATCAGGGAATTCAACACAGACAAATGAAACAATGTACTGCACCAAGTGTGGAAGAACAGAATGTAAAGAGTGATGAGTGTAATGTTTTTATTTTCATGGTACTAATCTATTAGATAATTCTCAATGTTGTCCTTTTCATCTTTTAAAATTCTTGACCGTGCCCCTTAATGCATTAAAAATTCTCAATTAGATCCTCCCGTAATAAGAGGTTCATGTATTATTAAATTGTTGCTCTATAACATATTTTGACATGTGGACATGTGGACATGCTACTCGGTCCAAAAATGTTAATAAAACAATAATTTAGTGACACATAAGCATCCATTAACCAGTTTTGATGGATTTTGAATACATAAAAGGATTTTTAGAGTTTTAAAAAATTAAGTACCAAATTGAGAATTACCTGAAACTGTAAAAGAATAAGGACCATTTGATATATTTAGCGTTTTTTTTTTCTCTAATGGATGGAACTATCGTTAGCAGGAATGTTAAGTAGGAAGCATATGCATGCATGAAACATAGGGTCAGAAAAGAGGACAGAACCACCCAGCTAAACAATAGAGCTACAGACCATACACAATTCAGACACTTCCAACAAGTTCTCTACAATTTCATTATTGTTAGATAGGATCAACATGAATGAAACTATAAAGGCGTAGAGTGAAACTGAGGATAAACAACTATAAATATATAACAACAATCTGCTAAAAGAAGAGCCCCACCAGAATCAGTTAAGAGAAATTCTGTGTTTACGTCAATATTTAAACAAGCAAAAGATGGAAGTAGAATAATATCGACTTAACATACCTCTTTGTCATTTTGATACTTTGTTATACTCAATGGATTTTGTGAACACTGCAAAAGGCAAATTCAAAATGTTAGATTTGAACTAAAAATTTTATTAACCTTATGTAGAACATACATCCATAATGGCTGCTTGAACTCTCGGATTTTGAAATGCCATTGCGATTTCTGGATTGGCCATAATTTTTGAAATAACTTCTTCAGGTGTAAGCCCAATTTGATCTGTCAAAGGTTCCAGATAGAAACGGTGAGCCTTAATTATTTTATAAGCCCTAAAACAATTTATATTTATAGATGAACAATTAATTGATAAAACATCACAGAAAACATATGAAAACAACAAGATGATGTTCTTTTCATATTCTTAGGGTTCTTAAAAACTATTTTCAAAAAACTTTCTGCAAAATCTTATAAAAAAAAAAAAAAAAAAACTTTCTGCAATAAGTTTTCTATATAAAAAGAACTGTTTTTTATTCTTAAAAACAGAGAACTGTTTTAGAAATCTCATTTCCAAACAGGTACCAAGTAACTCAAAAAAGTACATATATACAAATGAAATTATTAATTCTTGGAAAAAGAAATAATCTTTGACCATTCATGAATTGAATCGAAACTTTGCAACTAAATTTCAAAGAATGTATTTAAATCAATTTCAGCATTGACACTAAGAGAAATGACAATAGCATCAGAAATTCAAAACTAAAGCAAAGTTTACATAGCAATCTTCTATGCTTATCAATTATTTTGACAAAATAAAACTACAAAACGTTGGTCCATATCTTTTCATGAGTGGAATTATATGATTGCATCAGTGAGAAAATAATATATATCATTCGCATTTCAGCTATATATGATATACATGATGCTAAAGCAAATCTCGCCTAGAGAAAAGTAATCAAAGCCATTTAACTCCCACCAAACAACTACTGAAAAAAATGTACAAAAGCAAAAGAGATCGACTTGACTGACCAAATTGTTGCTTAACTTCAGGGCTGCTAAGATCAAAGTTTTTCAAGGAGTCCATGAGGCGGCCATCCCATTGAGGGCTTCCACTCATATTGTTACTGGCAGTAATAATTAAAGCAGGATAAAAATCATATTAGAAAAAATATTAAGTCCCATACTTCAACGAACTAGAACTCCAGCCCAATGGAACAAGATGATGAAAATGAAAGGGCATTGGGACTAGAACTAGCAGCTAGTAATGTGATTATCATTTAGCATCTATGGCATATATATTATATGAAGTGAAAAATAAAATCTATATTATTAAAATTTTATATAAACGTGATAGCCTAGAACAGATAATTACTCAGCAAATGAAGAATACTAAACCATACAAATCACAAAATAACTTTTTAAATATGTTTTTACAATAACTATCCAGGCCAAGCTTACAAGCACTCCAACTAATCCCACTGAAATATTTAAATGCTGGAGAACTCATAGAACTTCAATATCTTAAATTTAGGTCGCCACTGGGATTTGAACCCATCTTGTCCTAATAACCACATGGCACGATGGTTAGAGTGAGCCACCCTTCAAACCTCTCTTTGAGACCCCTCTACATCAACAAAAACCTTACTTTCCTTTTACTTCCAAATAAACCAAATATTATTAATAAAAGGGAAAAAATAACTTGTCTAAAAAGGGTTACCCCCAATCTTGAAAAGATTAATGCTCTCATAGAATGATAATCCAACCTAAGGTTAGACACACACCAAAAGACTGTGGAAAGTAGAAACCTTCGCAAAACCCTTTCAAAAGGATGTGACTCACACAAACACACCACCATGGACCAAGAATCATAGTAAAGATCTTATTATAAAGTCAATGATGTTAAACCTCCCATTGTCAAAAAAAATTCAACCTTTGCAATTTTGGACCTCCAAAGTCCAGCCCAAATGAATGGAAGACCCATACTCAATGGAGTAAAGCTAAGGTGAAGATCTTAGCTTCATCAGAAAATTGAGAGCGAGTGAGGTGAATTTCGTCTCTCCCTACCTAAAAACCAATGTTGTTGAGGCATGGTCAGCCCCTTGCCCTATAATGGCTCCAATGGCGATAAGAGCCTCATCAAGAATCAATCTCCTCACCATAAAGGCACCTACTTATGGGGTACGCTATGGGTCAACGCAATTTTAAATTTATCCACTAGGACCTTACCTATAACCCTCTATGGCTCTCCAATCAGGCCATTCCAAAAGCCAGTAGCCATGCGAAAACAACCATATCTCCACGAAAATATCAATGTCAAGTTGTCGTAAGCTCAAAAGAAAGAACAAAAGTTTAGAAATTTTATTTCTTAATAGCAACCCACAAATCAAGAATTCAACCTATGGTGGTTAGTATCATGACTGAAGCATAAAAGCTAACTCAACGTACTTAACTAACTTCAAATTTCCTTCCCACTTCAAAATCAAACCTGAGTTATGCTCGTCAGGGTGAGTTGGAAGCATTGCTTGGAATAGAGCAAGACGATGGTAAAGGAAGGCCACTGAAGTAATCAAAATAGAGAAATTTATAATCCTTATTGAGAACTAACCTCAAACTAATAGGAGAGGCCTCTTTATATAGACAAGGCCCTCGTACAGAGATTGGGTTTTTTAACTAACCCAAAAGAAGCTATAAAACTAGTAAACTAAACAAAACATGACTAATGATTACATCAGCCACCGACACGTGAAAATAAACTTGATAAAAAAGCTACCCTTTGAATAATCCTAAGTTAGACCCATTTTAGATTTCCACAATACATGGAATGGAATACAGGATCTTGGTTTCTAGTGTTATGGGTTTTAGTCAACTAATTAAATAGGAAAAACGTTAAATTCCAACATCACCAAGCATGTTCTGCAATTTATATCTTACCAAATTTTTCAGTAAAATAAAATCAGACATAAAACTTGGTTATAGTTTCAGAAGTTTGAAAACAACAGTAGTAGTTTATGATCCATTACAGAATGTCACAAGCCATTTTAAGATTATAAAAGCAAACACAAAAATGAAAGAAAGCACCAGCATGAAAAGTAAAAGATTGCTCAGAAATTCTACGACATGAATATTCAAACTAATATGATATAAGAAGGCTTTGAACAGAATCATATTACTTTAAAGGAAAAAAATGAATAAAGAAATTGAACTTACAGCATTTCTTCTAATTGCTGACGATATTGTGGATTTTGCATCATCCCTGTTCAATATAGTTCAATTAATAAGTGATGCCTTGCAGAAGATTAGACAATATTAGTACTAAGAGACCACAAAATTTTTATTCTAGAAGATTAACATATGAAATGAAAAACTTGTCTAACACCTAGTTATCAATTGGTAAAGTTAACTTCTTCCGTGCATTCATACCCTCTGTGTTCACACATTCGTTTTCGTTTTTTAGTTAATTAATTTGCTTCTCTTATTTACTTCCAGCATACCCTCCCTTCCCTTAGGGTCTCTTCTTCTATTTGCAGCAGGAACGCCCCTTTCTCATTGCTTATTAGAAGGCATAATGCTTGAAGATGCATTAATCAATAGACTCACACTTGAATGTTTCTGGATTTCTCATCTCTTCAGGCAAATGGCTGCAAGATGAAAAACAAGCACAGTTCCTTTCAGAAATAAACACAAGGTCAAGTACTCAGGATCAAATTTAGCTGTAAGTTGCTTCAGGAAATGATCGGCAAGTTACATGCATATGCAACAAACAAGCAACAAAGGATCCCAGTAGGCAGAAAAGATATGCACCTAGAAAATGAGACGGCATTGAATACCCAAGACATGGTGGAAAACAGAACTAACATTAATGCATAATGCAACTTATTGAAAAGAAAGAGTTAGTGTAAGCATAGGCATGTAAAATACATGTTCATCATTCTCCCAGAATAACTAGTGGCACAAGAGATGCTCTATCAACAGGCAGAAAGCGGCAGTTGCAAGGATCCTCACTGAGTTAGAGAAAATGAGAGAGAAATTATAGACTTTACTGAAACCTTTATCCCAAAAACAGTTAAAGCAGCTTTCATTTGAATATCCCTGATGGGTCTTCCACTGATGAATCTTCCGAGGTTTGCCTTAAGAGACATTAAATAGGTGAAAATCAGGAAGCCCGTCCTAGAATTAGGTGATAATAGCGTCCCCAGGCTTGATGATTTAACCAGTGAATCTCCTAAAATCTTTCAGAAATTTTTGAAACGAGGTTTCTTGAGCGGGGGTGTTAACTCCACCACCAATGAGAGAGAAAAGACAAAAGGTATTGAGAAGCAATTATTTTTCAAAAGGTGGCAGAGTTGTACTAGTTTCATCCCCTCGAATATTCCTACTTATGCAAAATTTAAATGAAGATTATCAAGACTAATGAGAAAGTTATAACTTGAGCAGACACAGATGCATGAAGGTAGTCATTTAGTCAAGTGGAATATTATTTCCTATCATAAGAAATTGGGGGGCTTAGCTAAGGCAGTATCCAGTATAAAAATCAAGCTTTAATTTCCAAGGGCTGGTGAAGAACTCCTCTTGATCCTCTTCTCTGTGGAACTTTAATATATATTTGGGTTACAGTTTCCATCCTTGGATTATTATTACCAAATTGGTTCAATGTTTTGAAAATTATTATTATTGTTGTTATTAGTTTATAAGAAGTGTTTTGTAAATTACTTGTATTTATATATGTGAGGCAATGCCTATTTCCACACATTTCTATACACATATTTTCAAAACAGCAATGTGTTGTCACTGATATAAACAGATATACATATGGGGAAACCAAATCATATAAAATTAAAAATTATTGAGTAAAAGCTTCATACGGATATATCATCTTCTGCACTGTCGGATCTTCCATCATTTTCTCCACAGCTTCCACTGATAAGACTGAGCCAGGTTTTTCTAATACATGAGAATATCAGAGATTTTATCAAAATTTTATGTAATGACTAAAGTGCAGTAATATACATTCAATCATGAATTGCAGATGCTGCAACACGTCAACAACAAGATCACAGAAATATAAACTAGCTGTTGAATTGAACACAGAAATATAAAATAACGGGCTTAAATTTTACTGATTGGGCCAATATAGTTAAATATTAGCCTTAGCTCTAATTTTTCAAGACTGGGTTTTGAGTTGCCATGCTATTTAGCTTTACTTTCTCTTTGTGTAGGACTTGTCCATTTGCTATTTCAAAAGGGAGAAAAAAAGAAAAATAAGGAATAGCGTTAGCGAATAAATATTATTATTTATTGTTATCAACTTACGGTTGAACTGGGGTCCCTCTGAACCGGTAAAAGCCTGCTTAGAAGCAGCTCCATTCTGTGGAAGCTTCACAAATAAATCAGAGTAAGTCAACATACCAACACTAGCCACCACTACAGAAAAACAAACTTACTTCCTCAGTAAGCTGAGCACTCTTTGAAAAACTTGTGTCTGTGACATCTTCGTTGCTTTCGAAGGGACTCTTTTGGTTAGTTTCATCAGGAGAGATATCTACAAAAGCTGTGAAAAGAGGTTTCAGGTTCCTACGCTTCCTAGGAGGGGGGAACGATAACATCTAAAATAAATCTTTGAATAGACCAATGGTGATGGTGAGTAACGAAAAATATCTAATCTTTTTTTTTTCCTTTTTTTTCAGATCCTTCTTTATTTTATTTAACTTAGTTGGTATGTGTGAAAAATTACAAACAAATGGCAAGGATAACGCAAGGAAGGTACAAAGAAATGGAAAAATTAATAACATTTCATTGATTATATTTACATGACTTGCATGCTACTGTGCAGGTACAAGCAAAGAAATAGGATTAAGCCATATCACCTATTCTACTGGAACTTACAAAGCCAGTTCCAAAAAAATTGAAAAATTGACATCAAGGAGTTGTGATGGCTACTAAACCTCCTTTTACATATCTCTTGTTATTTTGTTATTCATCAAAGCATCCTACAACTAGGCAAATTGGTGAAATGTTGCACCTAAACGGTAAAATGGAATTTCAAAGATTCCTCAAACGCATCTAACAAATAAACAAGTAAATACACACACATAAATACATATAGTTCAAAATCCAGTACAACAAGGCAATTAAAGTACTCGAATCAAAATGGCCATGTAATTTTATTATAAGAGGAGGATCCTCAGTTACCAAACTTCTTTGATTCCTTGATCTCTGCCCCATTTGTAACATTACTAACTGGTTCATCTTCAACTTTTGTTGCAGTTACATCAATTGAAGCATTGGGTTCAGAAACAGATGGAGGTGCGGTCGTGCCAGTCCCAAATGTCAAAGGTATTGGAAAAGATGGTCCAGAAGATTGTGGAGGATTACTAATCGGGCTGTTTTGAGAATTCATTTGAGACATCATTGTCTTGAAAGCTTGTTGCATTGCATATTTCTGAAATTCAATTACAATGAAATAAATAGGAACAAAAGAAACACATGGACAGATAAAGGTTAGTACTGATCCAAGTTGTAAAGTATATTGAAAGAAGAAAATGGAACAACAATCTTATAGAAACAAAAGGCCCATGGAATGTAAAAGGGCAAACGGAAGAAAAGTACTGGAAAAGATTCTGCACGCTGGAGGGGGGCAAAGTAATAAGATGAAACATTAATATATACTATGGAAGATGCAAAACTGTTTATAAGAGAAACATAACTTCTAGTAGGCACAAAGAACAATAAAAACATCAATGCACATACTGATTCATGATACCAAGATCCAATATTGAACATATGGTATTTTTATAGTTAAATTGATAATCCTTAATTTCCCTAACAATTAACATGTAGCTTGTATTATCCTTTTATCAGGTTTATAAATTGAAAGTTAAAATTAAGATAATATGAGTGGTCGATTGGATAACGCATCATCCAGACTATTGGAAAAAAAATACCTTTAAAATATAAACTAACCAAAATGAAATAGAACTGAAGATACATTACGTTTCCAAAAACAGAAACTTGACTCTAGCCTAGTTTAAAGACCTCAACCTTATTTCAAAAAGACCCTTTTATTGCCTTGCAACCATAAATAAATAAACACATCCTCAAGAAAAACTCAAGGCGTCAATTTTATGGAGCAGTTTGAACCATAAATCTCTTGCAAGCTGAAACAGAGAGATAAACATATTTATACTCGTAGTTGGACCTCGAGGTTAAGCAGGCATATTGATGGTGAGAGTACGACAAGGAGGAGCCAGTGGGACTTACTGTTAGATGTTTTTACTCTAAATAGTAGAAAAGAAGCAATGTATGGAAGTTGGCGATAATCACACTTTTTTTCCACTAAACCGTATGGTGTGATTGTTTTTTAGGATTTTGCTTTGATCCATTATACCAAAGTGCACCCATTCTCTTCATTTATTTATTTAATTGAAAATGAAACAGAATTTATCATCTCCCAATACAAAAAGTCTACGAAGATAACATACAATTCATATCCCAAAGATAATTTCAGGACATTAGGGATCCCTCATACAAGTAGAGCTTGAATTAATCTAAAATAATCCTAAACATCCAATAAATAAAAAATAATAATGAACTATGCAGCATACGGTAAATGCACGGCATATGACTCTTAATTGTAATCCTGCATTATAAATGTAAACAAATTTATGATCAACAATGATCATACTTGTCTTTTGGTACACAAGCAGTCATTTCTTGCTTATCACTCCAATGTAACATTAGTACATACAAAATCCTTTTAATAGAGTTTCTTTCAATCCTAAATTTGAATTAATAAAACATCACAAAACAAAGCAAGGCTAGCACAATCCAGGTGTGAAAACATATTTTTCATGCAAAAACAATTTACAAGTTTCGAACTCAAGCCCTCAGTCATAAGTAGGTGAGTCTAAATCCACCAGGCCAAAGAATTTTCATGCAAAAACAAATTGAGAAGAGAAAATTAAAGTTATAGCTAATAGTAAATTAGGGGAGCAGCCAAGAAGGGTGAATTACCACATTTTTCCAACATCAAAAAGTGCAGAAAGTTTTGTATAATGAATGATACGATTTTTAAGAGGTCAACAACTCCACACCATCCACAAACATGAGAATAAACAGGTTGTAGAACTCCAAGCAGAGAAACTAGAATTTTCAAAAAAAAATATCTGCGGAAGCTCAGAGAAAGCTATGGTCATGGAAGACTGACTCTAGCAGGAATGACAGCACCCACAGGACATTTCATAAAGCGTAATCATAATCCCATACCTTGTAGGAGAAAACTCACCTTTAAGTAAGAAGCCACCTGTAATTTTTAAGAATTTGTTAAAAGAACATTCAGCCTAAAAGCTTGTTGATAAGTTTATTCGATCCAAATTTGAAAAACAAGTAGTTTAGACATAGAGCTTTGGTTCTCACCCATGAAAACAATGCCGAAAGGCCAACACCAACACCAACCCAAAAGAGAGGCGACCCTCTAAAAAAAAAAAAATTTAAGTGCAGAACCGAAGTCTAGAAATCTACAATAGAAGTAAAAGATAAGGGGGTGACAAATTACACATAAGATGAGGGGGGAGGAACTGATACTGATGGAACACCAACGGAAGATGATTGATTGCTAGTTGTCGAAGAAGAAACACTTGCGAACCGTTCAGCCACTGTTTACACGACAAGAAGAGAACAATCAAATACGAAGACGAGTAGATTACTGAAGATTACAAGCTACGTTAAAACACCATTTCCAACCACGAATTCGAACATTACCGACGATACGGTGGTTGGGTCGACGATTAACGGCAGAAGCACAAATCCTTGGAAAAGGAGGTGGAGACTTGATCCTGGACCTCGCGAGGCGCCTGCTTCCGCATAATTGATTGGTTCGAGTGGCAGTGGAGATAGTAGAAGTGGAAGAATAGCCGAGTAGAACAAACTTGGGAGGAGATGTTAGGGCTAAATTGAGCCTGTCCATTGGATTTTGCACTTCCGCGCGGATGCTGAACAGAGAATTTGTTGTGGGAAGGAGGAAATTGAAATGATGATGATGATGATGATGAGATAGGATTCAAGTTCAAACCCTTGGAATATTTTCGGTTAGTTCACAGTGTGGAGACTGAAGAAACTTCTGTACAGAGTTGCCGGTGGTCTTGATTCACGGTCAGGATCACCTGCCCGCGGGCTCATGCGTCCATTTCATGATATCTGCGTATATTTTATCCAATTTTTCAATGTTTTGGAAAAAGCAAAATTGAATAGTGATATATGTAATTTATTTTTCTTAAATGGCTGAGCAACATCATAAATCCAATACCTTACTGATGTTAGAGCTACCACGCCGTCTTATGGATTATTTAATCTATTTGAATCCAATATAGTTGAATATATTTGCTCAAAATGTATATTCCGTCAGCTTAGTTATGATTCAAATCAAAAGATTAAAAGTTCAAATTCACACCTCCACATCTTGAACCATAAAATAAAATCCACTCATTACTTTTAAATTTATGCTACGAATAGGACTAGATAGATAAAGTAAGATTAGTGAATCCAGTGAAAGTCGAAGACTAAGAAGAAGGTACGGAAGTCGGAAAAACGACTAAATACGATAACGAGACCATTCACAGCAGAACAAGTAGTTGCCTTTAGAGCTAGGATAAGTAGGGTGGATAGCAGTTAAGATTAACTAAAAACCTTCAACCTAGACGTAGAACTCCTAGCTCTGGAACAGATTTCATTTCTTCTTTTTAACAACTACCGACTTTTCTCCTCGCTCACGGAATTCCCCCAATCGAGTCTCAGGTCAAGAGAGAAGAGCGGTGGCATACCTTGAGTCACTCGCTTCCATTAGGCGGCTAGTTATAATAAAATAAAAATGATCTACGAGCCAGAAAATTCAATTTTAAATTATATTTTGTTAAAATTTTTTGACCTCTTGTATCATCCCAGTGCTCAACTCTTCATTGGAAACCAAAACCAAATGTTTAGTAAAATGGAGAATAGTTTTCCTACGTGAAAAAATATTCAAAGAAAAAAGAAAAGCTAAAACTTAAAAGGAAAAAGAACCGGTAAATCCAAACTCACGATAAGATTACAAGCTAATTTGAAAATTATTTGTTACCATTATGGTTTTAGATATTAATTTTAGAAACATCAAGGAAAAATGGGTTAAACAACATGCCGAAATTGATCATTATCTAACGGTCAACCCGAATATATCTTAACTAATTGTCAACCCGAATATATCTTAACTAGTCAAAAGATCAGACCTTTGAATCCCCAAATCCCACATTTTTAGTTGAATTAGATGAAGGATCAGGCTGGCCCAATTTCAAAATGAAAGATCTGTATCAGGTCAGGTCATTGGTGTGAACAAGCACTTATACTTGTTCAACTTAAAAATAATAAGAGCATTCTTCATCTTCATTTCACTTATAACTTATAACTCCCATGTAAGAATACATATCATCCCGCTCAAATCCCATCTCCAAAACTGTGTCTAATTCCATTACAAGTTTACAACATCATAATAAACTATGAACTGTGAACCCAAATGCCTAAATGTACACCACAAACAACCTTCTCAAGCTTTGTCAACTTCTAACAACTAAGGATAACATCAAAAGGATATTACGAGGTTATAATCGACTTCTCCACGACTCTGGTTTAATGCACAACAACGCACGGTGGACAAAGTAGTTTCGGGCTTTGATGGATATTGGAACCTTCATGTTACAACCCATCAATATCCCTCTGACTATCATCTTGGGTCGCCATCATAGGCAAGGATGGGTGGGATTCCATGCGTGGGAATAACAATTTTAGACGAAATGCATCGACTCCATTCAAGTAATAATGAAAGAGTCGCTTCGCCCTTATGAACCCAAGACGACCATATAGTGCAAGTGCTCCTTTATTTGTAACTTCAGCTTCTAATGTGACCTTGAGACAAAACAACCGCAGATGGTAAGTTAGCATGTCAACTTTCTTTTACAAAGGAAACAAAACCGTTCATTGGTCCAGAAAAGGATCAGACAAGGAGAGAACAAGTAGTCCTCTCTTGAGGCCAAAGAGATTACAGAAAACAATTCCGGTTGGCAAAGATAATAAGAGAGTGGTCGCAGAATTGTTTAAAATGAGAAGACTGACATAAATACAAAAGTCAGACATTGTCCCAAAAAAGCAGTGCTCTCTCTAAAGTAGTCTTCAGATTTCTTTTGATTTTTTGTTTCACCACCGAATCCCACATCAAAGGTTTAACCATGATTATCCAGATCTATGATTCCTTTATTAAAGGGTGACTTGCAAAATAATTGCAGCTAGCATGTTTGTTCAAACAACTCAAAACATAATTAACAAAACAACAGCCATACTATTTTGCAGATAGAAACTCAACAAGCAACCACTTGGTTCAAATTGTTAAATAAAATAACAGCAAAAAGAAATCTGCTACTCAAGACAGTAATGCTGCAGATAAATTCAATAGGTCCCATCCCATTAGTTTCAAAGTCAGATCAGGTTGAGCTATTTATTACCATCTTCTTATGGGTTTCTTGGCAAGAACAGAACCAAAGAATCTTCAAAGAAAAGGAGCTTTCTTATGATCAATTTTTTGACACTATAGTTCTATTGGTTATTACTTGGTGTAATTTCTTTTTTTTTAGGATATCCGTGAGTGTTCGAACCAGCTTACGCACACCTAGACTAATTTAACGGGACAACCGTTTGACCCTACAATATTTGGTGTTGGAAAACACATAGGAATTACTAATTCCTAAAGTAGGTGACCATCATGGGGTTTGAACCCGTTATTACTTGGTGTAAATATTCTCCACTTTTCTACCATCAACATGATAGATGACTTAAACTGGAAAAAGTGAGCCACATTCAAAAGAATTTAAAGATTGATAAACATTTTAACATCATAAAATGCTATTTTTTAAAACTGACAGTGTTCAAAACCAGTTATGCACATTTCAAGTAATCAACCAGTCCTATAAGATTATTGCCTAGCTCTACAACTTTGGAATTGAGAAACTCATTAAATATTAGTATCCTATCCAACCTTAAACCCATGACCATGGTCTCAAAAATAAATAAGTTCCACAGAATCCCAGCACACATAAAACCTTGTTAATCAGGAAAGGAAATGGATTCTTTTCAAGTTTAATAAATTGAGAGTGACATTAACACCCAATTTTTTCTTTACCTCTATAGTACACCACATCAAGATTGAACTATCAACTGAACTTGATCTATTTGATAGTTAGGACACTTGAGAAGTACTCAACATCTCAAGTAACTAGCTCTAAGAGGTTTCGAAGTCATGATCTCTTGTCTAATTTAAAAGACTTTTATCCCTATATTACCAATACTTTCAGTCTGATTAATGGGTACATCACTACTTTATGTTATTACATTTCAACCCTTTACACATACTCCATTTTCTCCGTTGTAAGCAACTAATTGTCAACCTAATACTGATAGATGAAGTTAAATTACAAGTGCTAAAACAATTAAAATTTCCATATGAAAATGGTTATTGCAGACTTGAAATTATTTCCTGCAGGGTTATGAGAAAACATCATGGAGAGGACCCCAAACGGAATTTCTTTTCAAATTTCATTTATTAAAAGGCACTGACTTGGACTGAAACAGAGTTTAATGAAATGGGATGTCTCCAAATCCAACTCCAAGTGACCATGTAACATCGAAGAGAATCAGAATTTAAGGAGATCATGTCATGGAAAAAAAAAACCACTTGGGATTAAATGGAGATAACATAACAGTATAATATTGCTGAGGCATACTCAGAACTTTATTTTTCTTTAAAAGAATGTCCTGTTTGTTGATGTTTCAGGCTAGACAACCATCCAGTATTAACTCAAAGTTCAACAATTTGATTAAAAACATACAGAAGCAATCTCTAAATTACAGAGAAGATAAATCATGAATTAGCTGCTTTGACTCTAATGAATCAATAAAGGAAAAGAAATATTCACATGCATATAATACAGAGAATACCATACATCTATGATGCTGACATACCTCATCACAACCTGACTCCATCATGACTTTTATAGATCTCGTGACTAGTTCTGTAGCTACAATACAGAGGGAAAAAACGACAATCTATGAACAACTGAACTCCAGTAGGTTTATAACAAATAAAAAAAAAAGTATATTGAAACCCAATTCAAAATGGCAAAACATTATGAAGTAATGTCAATATTATGCATATAGATAAAAGATGGTATAGGAGAAAAAATTAGGATCATTCCAAGAGTAAATCAGTCATCCTTAACAAAGAGCATTAGATAGAAATTATCCTAATAACGTAGTTGTAAATTGTAATTACATCCAAATCCAAGTACAGAATACAGATGAATCTTCCTCAGAAAGCATAGCTCCAAATAAATGGGCCCATTGATAGTTCAATTATACAAGGAAAAACACTGAAAGCTTCTATATAGGATAGCTCAATCAGCTACCAGGACCATCAATTTCATTGATCACATAAAACGAGCCACTCCCAGACACAGGTCAATGGAAACCACTTCACAGAAGCCATAAAAAGAAAGAAAAATTTTACCAATGCCTTTTCCTCTATAGGGCTTGATGACGACCAACATTGCAATATACCCTCTGAAAGTGCTCCGATGCTCCCCCATCTTACAAACCACCGTCCCGACACATTTTCCTCTATGAAAGGCCTGAGAAAACAACAAAAATTAAAGAAAAATGGCGACGATCATGATTTAATTAGCCAAAACTTGATACGAAATCGAGAGTTATACCAGGAAAGAAAGTTGGGGCCAGAGGTAGACGAAGTAACGATAAGTGAATATGGAGTAGGGTTCGCTGAGTTCTTGGTCGACAAGATTCATGATAGGAGGTAAGTGATGCTCACCGCCGTAGCTTACGTACTCAATCTCCGATGCATCAAATTCAACTTTCCTTGTTTCTCCTTCTTCTCCTACGCCGTCCAATTTCGTTTCCATTCTCTGATACTCTCGCCGGAGGAGTTCGCCGTAGACCGCGGCGTCGCCTGAAGGAATCCGGCGGGCGTTTGGGGTAGTAATCGGTGAGGAAGAATTAAACTTGAATGTCTGGGAAAGTTTGAGGCCTTTGACGAACCCCTGAAAATATTCATTTGTTTAAATTATTGGAATTATAATTTGTATTAGTTAATGTTGTATAAACTTAGTATGTAAATTCGTTACAAATAAGATGTTTAAGTCATATAAATCTAAGTACACGGTAGATTCGCTTCTACTTAACTTATATTAAATTTAAATACATCTTAAACTATCATACAAAAATACATTATTTCTCGAGATATAATTGTTCATTTGACATACATCCCTTCCATGTTCTCAACAATATGGATTTTTTTTCGTTTGAAGGCAATATATTTGGGTGAGGATTCGACACATAATCTATTGATCGAAGATATGTGTCTTAGCCATGGTTTCAAATGTCCAGCAATACGTCAACATGTCGCTCGACATGTCGACGTGTCGAGATATTTGACATCGACACAGGGGAAAGTCGTTTTCCCCAAATGTCATTGACTTGTAGACTCAAATGTCGTTTTTTTTATTTAGATTATTTTATTGTCATCTTCTTCCTACCACGATTTATAATTTCTCACAGCCTCAATGAATGTAATCTGTTCAATACAACTTTCACATTTTAAGATAAAAATTTAGTAATAAGTATAACTAATAAAATCATTACGAATATAAAATTCAGAATTTACTTTATGTTCTGTTAGAAGCAGTTGACTATTACTTTTTTTTTCAAATAATGGTTGACTACTTCTTCAGTGTCTTACATATTAGGAATGCAACTGCAAATGAGATAATTACTGACTTGGTTTTCAAATATATTTCTAAATTATAATTAACTCATACTTATTTCTCTTTTCAAATTTGAATTTACACATTTTTAAACACATTTAAAAATTCTACGGTTATTTCAATCTTTATATATGTCAATATTTCACATATATTGTTCTGTGTAATTAAATACTAAATTTTGTATTAGAAATTATCAATAAAACATAATTAAGTAACAATAAACTTTAATTTAATAATTCAAATAATTTCAATGTATATATACACGATTTTGTTCCAACATTTTCCATCGCAATGAAATTTTCATAAGTAATATTACTTATGGAAATTATAGTCAAATAATTTAGATATGATGGTCAAAAGTGAATAGGCAAATTAAGCTACAATTAAAGTTTCCTTTTACTTGCAAATAATTTACATCAATCTTCATTAAAGAAAAAAAATCTTTTTTGGATATTTCCATCGACGTCGATATTTTCATAAATAAAACGGTTAGGGTGATTAATTATAGGCTAATTAAACTACAATTCAAACAATTTCAATCAATTTCTACAATTTCCATGATTTTTTCCGAAATATCCGTCAACATCAATATGTTCGTAAAATCAAGACCTCGGCATTTCTATCGACATCGACATTTCGAACACTGGTCTTAGCTAATTCAATGTGAATCTTTAATCGTAGATAAGACCACACAATTTTCGCTAACGTTATGAAGCATGTGATGTGACAGGTGTAAATTTGTACAATTCACACCTTTTAAACTTCTCATTAACTAGCTACATATATACATACACGGGTGGAAAATACCGTTCTTATTTCGAGATGTCGTTTACTCATATCTCGAAAGCTAATTAAATTGACTATGTTAATCTAAATACAGCTAAATAGATAAGATATTTTAATACCATCTTAAAAATCGATAATTCCATCTTCCAGTCTCACAATCCTTGAACTCAGAAAAAGAAAAAAAAAAGTGATAGGAGCAAAGCAAGAGAATCGTGAGTTCTAAAGCAAGATGCAAAGAGTACGAGCAGTTTTTGTTTTTCCCCAAGGATTAAATGAACTATTTAATAACATTTCCATCCTTTTTATTTATTTGCTTTATTTCAATTTATATATTGTGATAGGAATAACAGTTTGGAGATTGTGAAAAATAATTAGTTTAATCTTATATTGGTATGTAAATTTCAAATGTCCATTTTGGTCATAAATTTTTAGGTTAAATTTATTTGTCTCTAAACTTTCAAAAAAGTATATTACAGTTTTCAAAATATCAAATAATTATAAGGTTCAATCACAATTTCAATCCCGACACTTTTTACTTTTTTATCTTAATATAGATATGTGGAGGCGTTAAAAAGTATCTAACTTATCATTGAACTTTCTAAATATATTTTTTTTTCAATTCACAGACTTAATTAGATACGAAATTGAATTTTATGTTTAATCTAATAGAACTTTGACCTAATTTAATTATAAATATAAGCACTAAATTGAAATTAATTTTTTAACATATTATTACATTTAGAAATACAAGATGATACAAATTACAAGGTAAGGATTCAAACTCACAAAAAGTAGAAATGTCACCATTACTAAAGTCATGTTTGATAACTATTTTATTTTCTATTCTTTTAAAAATTAAGTTTAGAAACATTACTTTCACCTAAGGACCCGTTTGGTGACGTTTTCGATGTTTCTTGCTTCTCCTATTTTTAGAAACACTCTCAAAATTGTATAAAATTTTTGTAAATTAAACACAAGTTTGTTGTCTTTTTTTTTTTTCATTTCTCTTTCCAATTTGTTCCAAAACATAAATGAAAATACAATTTTATCATTTTTTAATCTACAAGGGTTAGGGTCATAGAGAAAACATAAACAAAAAAAAAAAACGAAAATTTTATCCCATGGATCCTAAGTTTTCCTCGTTTTGCTATAGGATTTTTATAAACATTTTCAAAATCTAGGTCAAATTAAAAAAAGAACAAATAGTAGTTTTAAAAACCTCGTATTTGCTATTGTAGTTTGACTAAAAATTTAAATATATTTTGATCTAGAGATAAAAACTTACCAATGAAATTGCACGAAAACAAGTATAATTTTAAAAAGCATAAAATAAAAAATAAAAATGGTTATGAAACTATATATTACCCAACCGACAACTGAAACCAATAAGTTATAACTCAACCGACATCTGAAATCAACAACTCAAACCATTAAATTAATATTAATAATGGTTTCAAGTAAAAAAATATTCATATACGCAGAGAAATGAAAGAAGAAGCTTGGAATTGGGTATAAATTATAATAAAAAAATACAATATAATATAATATATTGGATGCCATCCAGTAGAAAAGAGGACGCAGTGTTCGTCTCCGGTTCTCCTCATTTTTTCAAAAAGAAAAACTGCAAACAGAGTTTTATTTTATTGTCCAATATTTAAGTGGAACTTAATATACATATATAATATATATAATAATAATAAGGATTTTTGTAAAAAAAGTAAACTTTATAGGCCTAATCCACTAACAATAAAATAAAAGTCTAATGTACCTTTAATGAACACGGAACCAAACATTAATAGTTACCTAATATATTTTACTTCTTTTGAGTGTATTCAGTTTCATTTATTAAGTTGTTTTGTTTTATTTATAGATTTTAGATGAAATATTTGTTTTTTTAAAATTAAATATACGCTCTTTTACACATTATACCAATGCTAATGTACAATTAATACATCAAATTAGTTATATATTTTTTACAAAGGAATTAGTTTTATATTATGGAAAGAATCAATAACATCCAATACACCTATATAAACTAATGATATACCCAATATAGATATTGATATATTTGAAAATATAGAAGGATAAAATCAAAGAACTAAAAAAGTAAAACTTAGGGTGCGTTGGTAATAAATGTTGTAGAATTATTATTTTATCATATTATATAATTTACAACCTATTATATTTTACATGTTTTTGTAATATTTAATATATTTATAAAAGTTTCTTCTTAATATTTCTTTTAAAAAACTTGAAAACACGAAAACCTATAAATGTTGTTTTCCAAAATTTCACCACTTGAATACCACAAAATCTGAACCTAGCTTTCGAATCGAAACAATCACAAGTTCTAGCCACCTACCTTATAAATTAGTCCCTACACGTTTCCCAACACCATATGTCGTTGTAAGGTCATAGAGTTGCCCTATTATAGTCACAAGTTGGCTCGAACATTCACAAATAAAAAAAATTAATATATTATATTTCTAAATATAATACAAATAAACCACCAATTAATACATTTAGTAAAATATAATAAATTAATAAATTTAATATATTATATTTTATTTGCTTTACTTGTAACCATAACATGAAATAATATATCTATAAAAGTTCCTTTTTAATATTTCTTTTCAAAAAACCAGAAAACACGGAAACCTAAAATTGTTGTTTTCCAAATTTCCACCACTTGAATATCACAAAATTGGAACTCAGCTCTCATTCAGTGAATTATCTGAAAAAAAAATATACAACCATAAGTTCTGACCATCTACCCTTAGAAATTAGTCCCTACGCGTTTCTCAACACTAAATATTGTTGTAGGGTCAGACAGTTGTCCTATTAGTCGCAAGTTGACTCGATCAACACTCAAGAATAAAAAAAAATCACAAGTTCAGATCAGAAAAGGAAAGACGTAACTAGATTGGATCAGATACACCTTTACATTACTCAATACTCACGGTTGCCACGTCAGCATGATATAAAAAACGGATAGCGTAAACAAACGAAGTATGGTAGTCGGAGTCTCATAAGGTACGTAAGAAATGTTCGAATAATAATAATAATGTAAAAAGGGGAGGGAGGGAGATGACGGAGAGTCCAAGGCGAAGAGGCGCCAAAAGGCGATTGATGGAGTAAAATGCGGGTAGTGCATGCAATTGCAAGCTCAGAAGTATTGCTCCACCTGTAGCCCTCCTCCGCTCCCCAGTTTTCATCTCCCTCCACCGTCCATTCGTCTCTCCTTTTCTGCCCATTATCCACACCAATCTAATTT